TCTAAAATGCAGTTTCTACTCGATTTTCCGATTAACGATTTTTGCTTACAGCCCTAGACCCATCAACTCTTTAATCACCATTAATTTTCATTAATTTGATAAATTATGAAACAAAAAAGTCATTTTTTTTAATAACCCAAGTGTGAATATGTGATAAACATTCAATTTCACATTTTACTTTTACTTGATGGTGAACAATACCCTTAATATTCAATTTATTTCCTCTAAATAAGATAATTAATAATTATCATTTTTTTCAAGAATTAAGTAAATTAATTTCACTAAGCACAATTATTACTTATTATTAGCACGCAATTAATAAAAACATTATTACATACAATTAAAAGAAATTATAATAATACCATATATACTTAAACAATTAAAAATTTTCAAACCTAATTTACATATTAAAAATAATATTTCATTCCTAAAAATTCTATTGAAAATAATAAATTCAATCCATAGCTGTAATTTTTAAATCTTTTATTAATCAAATATAAAATTGTAGAATATTTCATTGTCCATAATTTAAATATTTTGCTTTGAATTGATATTTTTCGATAAGAGTTTTAGATCGAATGAAGGAAATAAGTGAGAAATATTATATAAGAACTCCCTTACTCTTCGAGTCTCAATTATGAATTTGCATGCATATTGAGTATGCATTTATAAATTGTTTTCTTTCCTATCTTACTTTCTATAAGTAATTGTTAATGTGTAATATATAGTAACTAATTATTGATTTATTAATCAAAATTTTATTATTCTTAAGATAATAGGAAATCCAAATGTGGCCCCCTTTTGATCAGAATGATGGCCAATCTTTTTTATAGGTCATAACAACCAATCGATAGATTTTTTATTTTTATTTTTATTTTTTTGTTTACGATAAACTTTTTAGCAGTGTAAATTATGTGAAGATTTATTATATTGGATAATTCACTTTGAATTTATCTTCTACGAATACTCTATTTTTCAGCCGAAATTTAATATGGTTATTCAATTCACGACAATTTTTTTCTTTGTTTACACAACTTGAATTTTATATATTTTGTCTTTATGATATTCATTGATTAATGGACATGTTTTTCTCTTTATTGTTACAATTGTACAGTATGTGAATATTAGTTTTGAGGAAGTGAAAATTTTAGTACCACATTTTCACTTGCAAGAAATTTATGTATGAGTTGTGAGTTTAGAAAGCAGTTTGGTACTTATTGAAATTTGCATTTTTTTTTCACTTAAACATTGGGTAAGAGGAAAAATCATCAAAATCTAAAATTAGATTCTTCCAAATTCCGAGGGTTCATATTCTCAAAATTTTTAACCCTGACAAGTTTGATTCAATACACATCTCCATAGAATATTTAATAATATTTGAGTTATTTATTGATTATAGCCATCCCCGTAACTTACATTCACTTAGTATTGTTACCTTTAATTTATAGGAAAAATCTAATTTTTCCTTTTTACTAAATTATGAGTCATAATCATTAATATGGCTCTTGAATGCATAGCCTCCCAACAAATTATTATTATTATTATTTTGAATATTTGGTTTTGACATAAAGTTATAGTTAAAAATTACTTAGGTAAATCATTTAATTGCATAATCAAATAGTTAAAGTTTATGTCCCATCCCACAATTTTTTGTCTAAATATTTTTGATATTTTAAAATTTTGTACGCGTTTCAAACTTTTTTGTCAATTATAACGATAAAACATTAGTCAAATTATCATACCTAAAAGTTTAGATTTTATATTTTAATATCGCCATGTTAAAATAGTGTTATACGTTATACTAAAAATTATAACTATCATTGATACTTATTAAAGTTATATTATATATAAATATTACTAAAAATATTAACATTGTTAAAAGTAAAAGATCTTAAATTTGAAATAATAACATCGTTTAAATTATAATTATTTTGTTGTATCATACTATATGCAAAGCATGTTTAGACTATAGAAAACTAGCTTTTGGTTTTAAATTCTTACCAATTATTTTATAATTTTTTTTTATCATCATTTCCTTTTGGCTTTCACAGGATTATTCGAAAAATGATGCATGTTTCCAATGTTACGAAATCTAATCAAATTGAATTGAATTGAAATGAATCAAATATGTTTACTGGAATGTTATGCGAACCAAACCAAGAGACGGTTTCACTATTTTCGATAAATTAAATGAGGTATAACTTTTTATATTTTGTGATTTTGGATATATTTAATGAATATAAATTATGAATTGATTTTTACATTCTAATATTCACATGTGTATATACTTTAATTTTTAAATCTAATTTGACGTATTTATATTCAAACAAATCAAATTAGAATTTTGTTACGTTAAAATAAGAATTTTATAATGTATTTGAAGTTGTCGTTTACAATAAAGTAGAAATGATAAAAAAAATTCAATTTTATGAACTAAAGTATGCCAGTTGTTTGTAGAAGTGGTAGAATTTAGCAATTGTTTGACATGCTTGGTTATTGTTAATTCAATTCAATGTATGATATTTGATACTTTTGGTTCTTTATCCTTAATGTAGGTTCTTTTTTATAATTTCATTTCATATTTGATTCTCCAT